ACTAGAAAAAGAGCAGCTGTTGTGAGATGCGAGATATGATTACAATCGGCATAAAATAGCATTTGCAACTAATTTGCCTAATCTGACATATTTCCGATTGAAACAGTATGTTGTGCAAAGATAAAAAATGTAGGACAGAACTTTTATTCATTGGGATGTTTAGTTTCTCTATATGACGGATGGTTATAACATACTAGTACTCAGTGACATCAGACAAAAAGGAAAGTCATTTTAAAGAAATCATATATTATAGGGTCATTAAAACATACATTATTGGCCAAAAGTGATGTCTGGGATGCCCGGGATATTTGTTTTTAATGAACCTACAACTTCAAAAATATGAGGAAAATGTATACACTCCCTCTCTTTGTGACTTTTTTACTCTAATAATAGTGTTTTTATAGTCTTACTTTACCCCTGTGTGTGTGTGTGTGTGTGTGTGTGTGTGTGTGTGTGTGTGTGTGTGTGTGTGTGTGTGTGTGTGTGTGTGTGTGTGTGTGTGTGTGTGTGTGTGTGTGTGTGTGTGTGTGTGTGTGTGTGTGTGTGTGTGCGTGTGTGTGTGCGTCTGTGTGTGCGTCTGTGTGTGTGTGTGTGTGTGTGTGTGTGATCCAGGTTTCATTCATGTGCAAACATGGACAGTGTTGATGAGTTTATCTAACTGTCTATCTAACAAGTTTAGAAAATTGTGAAAGTTCACAACAAGAAATTTTTGCATTTAAGTTTTAATAGATGCTCTTTTTGGACTGCACAGGAAGTGCTGAAACTTACTATATGTTTTCATAACACAAACTGTATTTCAAAAGATCCCCTTTTATAAAGTTCAATGCAGTCATTTTAACCAGGCTGTCGGTTAACTGTTCTCGGTTTCCACCCCGCATCTGCGTTAGTCATTTTCTTGGAAGGAGAGATGCTAGGGAGGATCCCGTCTGTTGTAAAGTGCTGACTGTGCCAGCCTGCCCGACCTCGTCATGTCTAGAATGTAAAAGGAAAATGTTCGGGCGCGCTGTGGATGTCTGCTTGCGGGACCATTAAGGGCCCCATCAATATTAAAGAGCTTGGGACGACCTGAGGAACATTCCAGAGGCCAGTCCATTAACGGACGACTCCAGCACAACAATTCGAGACTCAGAGGTTTGTGTATGTGTGAGTGTGTGTGTGAGTGTGTGTGTTAGCTTTTTCCCTCCTGGTTTAAGTAAGAATCCAAATTTTCAGAATAACTTTGCATGCCACAATATTCAAACAAATCCATCTAAGGTTTAAAGGGATAGTTCACCCCAAAAATTATAATTCTGTCATGATTTACAAACGATAAAACACCAAAGGAGATGTTTTGCAAAATGACTGTTCATTTCCATGCAATGCGAGTAAATGTGGACCAATGATGTCAAGCTAAAAAAGCACCTTAAAAGTAGTCATAAAAACAATTTGAGCACCATTTTCCAACTCATGTAGTTTGGAACAACATGAGGGTTAGTAAATGATGACAAAATTATGATTTTGGGTGAACTGTCCCTTTAAAATTGGTCCAGTTTTCATTTGTCCAATTGATTTTCAGATGTTTTATTATGTTTTAAATTTGTTGTTTCTTTGCACAGCACTTTGGTTTCAACATCTTTTGTTTTTAAATGTGCTTTATAGATTAATAAACTAAACTAAATTGTGTTTGTGTATGTGTGTGTGTGTTAGCTTTTCCCCTCCTGGTTTAAGTAGAAATACGAATCAGTTTTTTTTGTTTTTTTTTTAAATGACCAAAAAGCATCATAAAACTTAGTATAATAAAAGTAGTCATACATACAATTTGCGCACCATATTCCAACTCATGTGAGTTTGGAACAACATTAGGGTCAGTAAATGATGACAGAATTGAATTATATCCCCTTAAATTGTGTTTGTGTAAATGTGTGAGTGTGTGTTAACTTTTCCAGTCCGGGTTTAAGTAAGAATACAAATTTTCATAGTAAGTTTGCATGCCACAATATACAAACAAATCCATCTAGGGAGGTTTAAACCGATAGCTCATAATTCTGTCATGATTTACATACAATAAAACATAAAAGGAGATGTTTAGAGAAATGTTCACACTGTTCTTTTCCATTCAATGAAAGACAGATTCTGTCAAGCTTAAAAAAATTGCCAAAAAAAGCTTAAAAAGCACCATAAAAGTTGCCATACGTACAAATTAAAAGTCACTACACTACAGTGTGTGTGTGAGAGAGAGTATGAGAATATGGGGCTCCTTTAACCTAACATTAAACACATCATTAACTGTTAAGTGTGTGAGAGCAGTGTCCATTTCCGGCTCTCATAGGAGACCAATAACTGTCTGTTTCTTTTCTGCTGAGTCCCGTCAGCAGCTTCATTGTGAAAAGTCTCAATTCCTTCCTAATCATCTGTACAAAACTAGTGTGTGTCTGTGTACGGCATTGCAGTGTCTGGATAATTTGATCAGTGTTGTATTACCTATTTTCCCTTGACACTAGTATTTATTCATGCTCTTGTTCTCCCTGTGCCAGAAAGAAAGAACAACCTTGAAACCACGCAGAAACAACTGCATAGCAACACCTTGGCAACCACCCACAATATATATTTCAATCTCTGTTACAAACAGAACTCATTGACTGATGGAATGTCTTTTGATTCTGAATCTTTTCATCATAATCTCAATGTAGGTGCAGCAAGTGACCTCCTTGCCCTTGAGAATAACCTGCTGACCTGCTGTTAGGGAAGCGAAATTCAACATCCTCCCGGTCCTCTGTTCCTGTGAGCCTGACTCTGCCAACTAACCCACGTGGGTAAACAACACCTCGGCCTTCTGCTCTCCACGCATGCTGACCTCAGCTGCATTTTTTCTGCTGCGGTCGGTGACCTGCATGGCAGATCCTGCTCGAATTAACGCTGCTTCAAAACCTCCGCCCACATGATGGGCGCAGGTTGGCACCCTTCTGCGAGCCCTGCTTAGTTTGACTAAGGTGGTCAAAAAAGATCGGGGAACAAACCGGAAACATCTGCTTGAGGTACTGAGGCTGCACTTACATTACATGGTTCACGTGACCCAATTTTCCTCCCATGTGGCACAGATCAGACATGACCCATGAACGTATAAGAAGGAAAAAAGCACATGGATATTCTCAGATTGGTTTCAGGCCTAATTCATATGTGGAAATAAATCTGATATGAATCGGATACGTGTATTTGCGTCTGCCATGTAAGCAGACAGACCGGGTATTCACCTATCAATGTGATTCGTACGTCATTGAATAAACTCAAACCGTGATCACATGACTCTTTTCAGTGCCCAGGCTGGAACAAAGGCTCTACTTGTTTTTTTGCCTTAAGAGACCGATGTTTTGCTGACTTGGTGCGCAACGCAAAAGCTTGTATCATCATTTAATTTGCCTACAGTTTTTATTTCCTTTTCGGCCTAAGCTTTTCCGGGTCAGTACGTCAGCCTTGGGTTGTTTCGCCAAGTTTATTGTATAAATGCAGATATCAAATATGGGTCACTTTTAATAGAAGATGTAATCTGGTCGGATATAGTCAACAAATCGGGAACTGGGCATCAAGACCTGCAGTGTAAATGCGGCCTAATTGCCACTTTGATTAGTGTACTACTTCTTTATGTATAGTTCATATAATCAGTTAGTCAACCCCACACACTTTTTGGGCAATAATTATTATATTTAAACACCAAGCAGAATCCAACACTGTAAAACGTAATTTTTTTGAATTTTTTAATAATAAATACTATTTCAGTCTTTCTTCAGAATTTCACGTTTAATTCAATATGTTACTTGCAGTTTCTTTGTCAAATTTACTAGCAATTTCTGAGTGAAAATTGTTTTTACACCAATTTTTTCATTGTGTGCAAACTCAATGCATTAGCAGTTAACCAAATGAATGAGTGCAACTGGTAAGCAGTAATCTTAATGTGTTGAGCGCCCACTTCCTTGCTTATAGGAAAGTCCGTTACGGCTACTGGGAAAACGTGACGTCACTTAATTAACTGTCTTTGTCAGGCTAATGAGCGGAAGAGGCAGGCAGGAAGAAACACATCACTGTCAAGCCTGCTAACCATGTGACACGTAAACTCTGAACTTCTGGTTGTGAGAAGCAGAAATTAGCATGCTGTATATTTATATCACACCCTACTTCCCTATTTCACACACTATCTGTCCTAAATAGTATGCAGGAGTAGAATTAGTATGTCCCCTGATCATGGCATGGCATGACAAAAGCAGGCCAAAGTTGCCCGGGTGGTCTACTATTTCTGGTTGTTTTTGAATATATGTTTTTGGGGTAATATTGATATAAAGTATGGGCTGTTACTTTTACTGTTACTGATTTCTCAGAACACCTCCACTGCCATTCATAAGTCTGAGGTCAGTAAGATTTTTTGAAAGACGTCTCTTCTGCTCACCAAGGCTGCATTTATTAATTGATCAAAAATACAGTAAAAACTGTAAATTTGTGAAATATTATTACAATTCAAAATAACTGTTTTCTATGTGAATATATTTTCAAATGTAATTTATTCCTGTGATGAAAGCTGAATTTTCAGCATCACTACTCTTTTAGAGTAATTCGTATTTAGTCTTCAGAGTCACATGATCCTTCATAAATAATTCGAATATGCTGATTTGCTGCTAAAAAAAACAAACATTTATGATTATTATCAATGTTGAAAACAGTTGTGCTGCTTCATATTTTTGTGGAAACCGTGATACAGGATTCTTTGATGAATAGAACGTTCAAAAGAACAGCATTTATTTGAAATGGAATCTTTTGTAACATTCTAAATGTATTTGTCACTTTTGATCAATTCAATGCATCCATGCGGAATACTTTTATTTATTTATTTTTTTAAATCTTTTAGATGGTAGAGTATATCTGTCATGGGAAATGTTATGTGCGGTATCCCACTTACTGGATTTTTAAGCATAGTTACCCCAGTCCACATTACTAACAACATCATTTCTTCTAGTGCAGTTCGGAGGACTCACCAGCGTGCAGAATCTCTCCGGCGGGTTCCCACAGGTGATGCCCGGCGGCTCCACGCGGATGCGCATGTACTCCTTCATGAACTGGGCTTTGGGTTGGCACGCGTAATGCTCCCACACGGCGCCTTCGTCCGTGCTCACGAGAGACTTGCACAGGTCGTACTGGCCTCGGGCTCTCGCCAGCACATGCACCAGCAGGTAGAGGAGTCCCGCGCGTGCACGCATGGCAGGCACGTGACCGAGACGGGGTTTCCGAAGGGAAAGGGACCACCGTGGGTTCAGAGGTGGGACGCGTTAACATGGAACAGCAGCACCGGTGGTCAGGTTAAAACATCCCATAACTTCGCCACAGTCATGCTTTCATTTACTCCCAAGAGGAAAAAGTCAGATATATAGAAAAAAAAATGTGCACGTGTTTTGTTGTTATGAGGTTGAGGGAAATTCTTGTAAAGCAAGTTTATAGTTGTGTGTATTGTTTGCACTGAGAGGGCAAGTCTTACTTCTGTGTGTTTGGACACTGTCCTGATGTGTGATGCTTCGACTCAGACTTACATCCATAGCAGCTCCTGGACTGCGTCACCACAGAGCATATTTATGTGCTGAAGGTCTGTGTCCCACACATGAAGTGTGTATCCCCCTTTCCAAACTCAGAAGTATCCGCCTGATCTCATTCTTCAGACTTCAGCGGCTGCTGTCCATGGTCCTGAAAACAAACACCACACAATTTAGTGCTCAAGTTCACTGCTGTTTGGTTCACTCGCACACAAGTACTTGATGTCAGCCTGTTTTTTTCTAGCAATGCTTTCCGCTGATGGTCTAATTTGCCAACCCCCCCCTAAACAGACGTTGCATGTCATCCTGTGAACCGCCACAAGTCTGGACAGATGGCTGATCTCGCATACAACACGAGTCTAGAGTGAGGAACATGCGTGGTACACACACACAGACACACATTTAACAGGCAGAAATTATATAAGACAGGACTTCAAGGAAGAGCAGAGAAGGGGATGTGCATTATATATCACGCAGATACTACCATATATTGCATACTGATATTGTATGTTAAATAGTTTCCTGAATGAACTACGTTTCATTTTCATTGGGAAAAGGGAGGAGTGAGGAAGGGTCTCACATGTGCAGATACGCACATAGTGATGGCATCAATTTCAGAGGTTGCAAATGCAGTGAATGTACAAATATTTGATCAGGTAACGTAACCTTTGAATAAACTGGTTTTATTCAAGTCAAAAATATTTCAACCTGAATTAACCAGACCACATTAAGATATGTTTAAGTCAGATCAGGTAGCCTTGAAAACATCCTGTTTTAACCGACAATTTAGGCAGTTTAACTATAAAAAACTCATATTCAACTCTGTAATACATTTTACAAATAAAAATAATTCCCTGCACAAAGCATTACATTTGTAATCATTACATCATTCAAATTAGTTAGTTAATGTTTTTAGATTTATTTAGTGTTATATGTTCCTGCGGGTAACACTGAGCTTTGCCTTTGAGAGGCCAATTCTGGTGAACTGCAAGTCATTTGTACATTTAATAGTTCAATTAGGCTACTGTAGAGTTGGTTAATGTACATTATTTATATATATATGGTAACACTTTATTTACAGTATCCTTGTTACTATTATGTTACATGTACTTACCATAGTAATAACAGTAAATGATGCATAATTACATGCAACTAACCTTCAACCAAACCCATATAAGTACATGTTGTTAATTAATATTACTCAGTACTTAAATATGTAATTAAACTATAACGATAAAGTCTTACCGTAATGATTGCAATATCAGCCACAACTACAGTACCAATTTTTACCTCCAAATTGAACATATTTACAGTGCAGAGTAGTACATAACGGCAAAATCTCATTCCTGTTGTTTTTAATTCTCCATTCACCACCGGTCTGATCATTTCAGAGATTAATTTAGTATAGAAAAGTAATTAAAACTGTTAGATATTATATTTTCGCTTTGCCTCACGTAAAAACGTACAAGTTCCACTCGCTGACAGAACAGGCTACTCCTCCTTCATATAGTAGCCTACTGTACTGTAAAACATCTCAAACAAGCATCGATATTCCTCGTACACACCCTGGAGGTAATCCAACATCCGTAATGTGACACAAAACGTGACTAAAGTTGATAACTGTTGTAGTTTTAGCATCAGATAACAGTTTTAAATCGTCTTCCCTCTGCAGAGCGGACGGGGTGTGTCGCGCGCGCGCGCGTCCCGCGTGTAAAGATGAGGAACTGCGAGATGGAGCTCCAATAAAACACATTCCGCGGTGCAACTCGGTAAGAGAGCTGCTTTTACGTTTAAACTCGAGCAGAAACAACTTTTTGGGGTGTCAAACATTTATCAAAAGTGAGACGCTTTGACAGGCTCGCTTCTGAAACGGGAGCTGCGTGCATCCGGGTTGCTGAAGTAGTTGAGATGGACTCACCGAGCGCCCGAAACAGCATCGCCTCCCGCAGCGAGGATGCGGTTCTTCCGTGTTTGTTTTTTTATTATTCCTCCCAGCCGGAGAGTTTTTTAATGCACACTCGGTTCGTCACGGGAGGACGGTGCCCTACTTCTGCAGGAGATGCTGAATTACTGGAGGAGGGTGTGTGTGTGCGTGTGTGTATGTGCGCGCGCGTGTGTGCGAAGTATCCAAAAGTGAGAATATGGACTTGTAGTGCGCGTGCTGTCTACTTTACTGGATCAGATTTGCCCTGTGTGTTCAAGGGCAGAAAGCTTCATGGCAAATCTCCCTCCTCTCCCTCTCCCTCTCCCTCCCTCTCTCTCTAATCCATTTAACCATCACTCTCAATCACTATCTGCGGGTTTGAGTCAGGCTCGCCCGGCTGTTCTACCGTCTTCTGTTCTGAGGGGCTGAAACTAAACCACCCCGCTCTTGAGACACCAGGGAATCCGCATTTTTACGCAGACCTCCCTGCTTGGGGAAGCCTCTGACGGTTCACATTTGTCCTCTTTTTTTTTAATGGATAGGCTACTCTTAGTTTCCTTGGACTTTCATTTAAAAATGCTGATAGAGCAACTCAGTGCAATATTTGCTGTTTAGTGTTCAGGGCTGGTAGTACAGCAACTTTAAAAAAAAAATCTCCAAAGAACCACAAACTTGCAAGTACACTTTACAAGTAAGCTAAGGTTCTTTATTGGCCTCAATGGTTCCATGACGAACCTTTAACATCCGTGGAACCTTTGTATTCCACAAGAGGTGCTTTATAGTGGAAAAAGAAAGATTCTTAAAGTGTTCTTCACACTAAGATTAAAAGTAGTTATTTTAAGAGGGAATTATTATGCCCCTTTTTACAAGATGTAATTTAAGTCTCAGGTGTCCCCAGAATGTGTCTGTGAAGTTTCAGCTTAAAATACCACTGATAATGTATTATACCATGTTGCAAATGTCCATTTTTGCAAATGTTCCATGTTTTCATGCATGTATCTTTAAATGCAAATGAGCTGCTGAGGCCCCGCCCACTTTCCAGAAGAGGGCGGGGCCTTTACAGCTCGTACTCTGACCAAAACTAAAACACCTGTTTGGTTTTGATTATCATCTCTATCACGATCACGCTCACGTGACATTGCAGTTCATCATTATCATGAAAGTTTATTATCTGCATGCGTTTTAAAGCCATATCAGTCTAAACTTCTGATATATGGTTTTCTGAGCGCACACATCTGAAGCAGGAGATCAGAAAGCTGGATGTCAGATGGCGCGGCGCGTCCCGTGAGTATTAAACTAAGTTCTCTTTCTCGTCTTATTGCACTTAAACTGTCAAACACACACAAGGTTATGTCAAAAACACACACATAAGTTCACATAAACACAGTCAGTTATGTCTGTGAACGTAAAAAAAGCAGGGAAAGAAACAGCGTGAGTATATTAGATCTGTGTATTAAAGTGACAGCAGAGTAATATACACTACCTACTGCTATATATGCTGTTAATATGAATCAAACAACAAAATAAAAACAGAAAATCACTCACTGCTCTTGACTGAATAACTTTAGTAGCTTTAATAAGAATAGCCTACATTTCTTACTTGAATGCTGCAGTTAAATGCTCTGGCGAGGAAAAAAACATGGAGGACTGTGTTCAGCTCACTGAGGGCGGGTCTATGCTAATAGGGCAAAGTCCGTCAGCAGTGCCTTCACACTAAAATGTACTATTTGAATTCAAACTATTTGAGTTTGAATTTACATTTCCAATACATACAATGTGTAACTGTACAGCAGTTCCCAAAAAGTATACACTTAGGAAATAAAAATATCAAAACAAATGCCTTTAAAAAAAAAAGTACACTTTTCAAATTAAGGTTTGTGGGTTTGAAATGATAAAACACTATATAGCCTTCAATGTTAAAATATAAGGAAAAAGTATACTGACATTTTGGGTTGTTTGTTGTTAGTGGAACATGTTGATCATGTGAGTTCATAAGACAACTGCGTGAACTGACTTCGTACATCCACTTAAAATCACCAAAACACCAGTTGACTGAAAGACATTGAGCGAAAATAATGAAGAAATTGAAGGATCCTACAGCATTTGAGACCCATGCACGTACAGACACTTGCTTTGAAATGTTGTTATTTATGCAACGAGTAGCCTATGTGCCCCATGCAGTGCGGCTTAAGGGTCCAGACTCTTTGGGGTCACTGTGTGTTCTGATATGCAAACGACCTGTCGACTGATTCACGTCAGTTCTCTAGTTTACTCCCGTTAATGCAAAGTCATGCATTATTGCTTAAAAAGCAGTGGGATTGTTCATTTTCAACCCTTCAAAAAAGACAGTTTTCAGCCCGGCCAGCCGGACTCAGACCCAGGCGGTGATTGAGAGAAATGGTTGAAGAAAATAGTCAATTTTAGGACAGTTAATATTTGTTTAATGATGTTAATCAAATTTCCCCCAAGATTTCAGTTTTATACATCTGGATATTTTTGTAGATTTTGTAATTTCAAAATGTTGTCAATTTTGATTCTTATTTTAAATTGTCATAAAATAAATATATAAATACATAACTATACTATATTTTATTATTATTATTATATGTTGTTTTGTTTCATTTTTCATATGAGAACTGTGGAGGTTTGTTTAATTTTTTTTTTGAAAACAATGTCATAATGCAAAAAAAAAAATGTCTTAATGATCCTAAAATAAGCAAAATTTTGTTTATGCGAAATATAATTTCAAATTTTTACTTTTGATTTGGATGTGAAATATGAACTGGATTTGTTCTTTGGCATGTTTTGTGAGATTCACCTTTATACCTCTCAGAGTGGAATACTTCTTGTAGAAATTTGTAGTTTGTTAATATCTCAATATGTACATTTCTAAAGTATGTGTTAGGTTAAAGAGAGCCGAGCAGAGAGAAAGAGAGAGTTGGTGTGAGTCTGTGCTCTGGACGGTCTGCGTTGACAGGAGTGCGGGTCAGATCGATAGTTTGTCCTTGCTGTGTCTCAACGGAAAGATTTCCGCATCTCTCTCTCTCTCTCTCTCTCTCTCTCTCTCTCTCTCTCTATCAGAGCTGACTTGACTTTCCCCCTCTTGACACATACCCAGCCTCTCTATTACATCTAAAAAAGCTGTTTATAAAAACATTACTGTACATTAGAAGCCAATGATTGCTCCAGAAGGGAAAGCGATGTCATTTATAAATGATTCCAATTAATCCTCATCTGAATGGTTTGAGTTGAAACACAAACGGGATTATCCATCTTCAATTAAACGGGGAAAAGGAAACTCCATTATCCCATCTCTGTGATGACGTCGCCGTCTGCCGAACTTTGCTCGGGTTGACCGTCAGCTTGGCACGTCTGCGGGATGAATCAGAGGAAGTGCGTAATCCACTGGCACCTGTCACAATGTTGACATATCATGTCTTAATAAGCCACAGATTAGGGATTGTGATCAGTGAAGTCGGGTAAGAGCTTATGAAACTTCCTTATCTGTGACGTACTTAAAGGTCACGAACTGCTTGTGACCTATAAAAAAGAAAATGAATCAACAATGAAGACGAGCGGCATGATTTGAGACTTTTCTACACTAATGTTTGAATTGAGTAGATCTCCACGTAATGTGTATACTGTTCCAAATCATTTTTTTGCGGGAAAAACACGACTGATATTCTGCATCCCCTTATGTGCTCCACAGGAGGAAGAACGTCATGTGGTTCTGGAACGGCATCAGGGTGAGTAAACTATGACAGATTTCTTGGATGAACCACCCCTTTATGAGTTTGGAGCCCTCCAAAAGAGGAAGAAAAGAACAAAATCCTCCCCTGCACTGGCGTCTGTTTGTGTTCAGCGTAGGAAGCTTTAGAAGTCATTTACACATGCGCCTTTCATCCAGACGCAGCCTGTTCAGGCCGTACGCTTGGCGTCATTCACACACCCACTACACACTCATCCACTCAACCAGAAAAAACACACACACACATGCTGGGCTAATTCATAGATTCATGAGTTGAAAATGGCACTTTAGTCATGACGATGTGTTCATTTTGGTCCAGACATTCATTGTTTTTTGGCATGAATAAACATCCACATAATGAGCGAGAGACCTGTTTTTAGATTTTTAGGATGGATGAATAGACAGGTGGATAGATAGATGGATGGATGAATAGACGGGTGGACGGATGAATAGATGGATGGATGGATGGACGGATGGATGGATCGATGGATGAATAGACAGATGGACGGATGGATGGACAGATGGATGGATGAATAGACAGGTGGACGGATGGATGGATGGATGGATGAATAGACAGGTGGACGGATGGATGGATGAATAGACTGGTGGACGGATGGATGGATGAATAGACGGGTGGACGGATGAATAGATGGATGGATGGATGGATGAATAGATAGATGGATGAATAGATGGATGGATGGACGGATGGATGGATGGGTGAATAGACAGGTGGATGGACGGATGGATGGATGGATGGACAGATGGATGAATAGACAGGTGGATGGATGGATGAATAGACAGGTGGACGGATGGATGGATGAATAGATGGGTGGGTGGACGGATGGATGGATGGATGAATAGACGGGTGGACGGATGGATGGATGAACAGATGGATGGACAGACGGATGGATGGATGGACAGATGGATGAATAGACAGGTGGATGGACGGACGGATGGATGGATGGATGAATAGACGGGTGGACGGATGGATGGATGGATGGACAGATGGATGAATAGACAGGTGGATGGACGGACGGATGGATGGATGGATGGATGAATAGACGGGTGGACGGATGGATGGATGGATGGATGGACAGATGGATGGATGGATGGATGGATGGACAGATGGATGGATGGATGGATGGACAGATGGATGGATGGATGGATGGATGGACAGATGGATGGATGGATGGATGGACAGATGGATGGATGGCTGCACTAAAGTAACTACAATTCTACAATTGACTTAATTAGTTTTTTCCTGTTAAATGCAGAGAGTGAAAGCTGATGATTAATGTGGAAAGTTTGGCTGTGTGTGTGTGTGTGTGTGGCCTGTTTGGCAGACCTTCATGAAGGTATACCCTTCACAAGCACACCCCACTGTGGCCTGACTCTGTTCATCTCTCTCTCTCTTTCTCTCCCACACACATTAGAAGATTGACAAAAAGCAGGATTGCAGACTCCAATGCAGCAAGACTAGAATGCCGTATATAAATCAGTATTTTATGCAGGTGAGGGTGTTTAGTGCGTGACCTGCAATCTCTTGCCTGAACTTTTGGGACTCCCATCTCAACCAAAGTGTCACACACACACACACACACACAGATACTTCCAGATACACGCACACTCTTTTGTTCAGGACTGTGGATGTGGATTCGCAGATGAAGTGTTGACTCAGGATGTGACACAGCGTTATTCAAACATCTCGACATTGACATTCTGGCCTCGTGCAGCGTGTAGTGTGCGTTTGTGCAAGAGAACAAGAAAGAGATGTTACATTTTAGAAAGAATATGTGAGTGGTGCATTGTAGCAATACGATGCTGGGATGTTGTGAATGGCCCAGTGCGTTGAAGTACGGTGGATAAGATGCTCTGAGTTAGCCTGGTTAACCAGACCATTCTCAGTTGTAACTGAGTTATGGTCTGGCAAAGCGTCATAGACAAATCATTTCCAGAGGGGCGTCACCAACGGACGTCGCGGATAGACCTAAACCCAATCAGAGCGATGAAGGAGATGGCGTATGCAGAGCGGCAGAAACATCTCCGAGTGTTGATCTTTGCTCGGTTTTTAACTAAAAGGAAACGTTCAAATGGCTTAAAACAGATGCGATAGCTGATTGGAACGAGTGATGTTCGACGGCGGCATCCATCTTTGTAATGTAGGCTAAAATCTGCTTCAAAATCCCAGCGCTGTCGTCATCGTGTAAAGCCCGCCCCAACGTTTCTGATTGGTGCCGCGATTTCGACGGATTGGAAATGGGCTTGAATGAGCTCTTTGCCAGACTAACTTTCAGAGCAAATCTAAATTTGCCGGAAGTTGTCTGGGTTTTCCCAGGCTAGCTCTGAGTGGCTGTCAACACTGTTATGTGGAGCCGTCTGCATGCTTGCTTACTGACTCAAACATTAAACCTCAAGACGTACATCTGATCAGTTAGACATCATTCAAGTCCGTAGCTCAAACTGTTTAAAGGGTTAGTTCACCCAAAAATGAAAATGATGTCATTAATGACTCGCCCTCATGTCGTCCCAAGCCCGTAAGACCTCCGTTCATCTTCAGGACACAGTTTAAGATATTTTAGATTTAGTCCGAGAGCTTTCTGTCCCTCCATTGAAAATGTGTGTACGGTATACTGTCCTTGTCCAGAAAGGAAATAAAGACATCATCAAAGTAGTCCATGTGACATCAGTGGGTTAGTTAGAGTGTGTTGAAGCATCGAAAATACATTTTGGTCCAAAAATAATAAAAACTAGGCCTTTATTCAGCATTGTATTGTGTTCCGGTTCTGTTGTGGATCCGCGTTCAGTGCCGCTGCTGACGTAAGACGCTGCTGACGTGTGTCTGGTGTGTGTGTGTGTGTGTGTGTGTATTCTGGTTCTGTTGTGGATCCGCGTTCAGTGCCGCTGCTGACGTAAGACGCTGCTGACGTGTGTCTGGTGTGTGTGTGTGTGTATTCTGGTTCTGTTGTGGATCCGCGTTCAGTGCCGCTGCTGACGTAAGACGCTGCTGACGTGTGTCTGGTGTGTGTGTGTGTGTGTGTGTGTGTATTCTGGTTCTGTTGTGGATCCGCGTTCAGTGCGGCTGCTGACGTAAGACGCTGCTGACGTGTGTCTGGTGTGTGTGTGTGTGTGTGTGTGTATTCGGGTTCTGTTGTGGATCCGCGTTCAGTGCCGCTGCTGACGTAAGACGCTGCTGACGTGTGTCTGGTGTGTGTGTGTGTGTGTGTGTATTCGGGTTCTGTTGTGGATCCGCGTTCAGTGCCGCTGACGTAAGACGCTGCTGACGTGTGTCTGGTGTGTGTGTGTGTGTGTGTGTTCCGGTTCTGTTGTGGATCCGCGTTCAGTGGCGCTGCTGACGTAAGACCCTGCTGACGTGTGTCTGGTGCGTGTGTGTGTGTGTGTATTCGGGTTGTGTGTGTATTTCTGTTTAAAACTTGAAGAGGGTTATTACAGTCATCAGTGTTTTTACGTCAGCAGATTTTAGTCCACAAGGACGACATCATCACACCAAGGAGCTGATCTCCTCTCTTTCGGTTCATAATAACTGTGTTTTCAATTCTCACGTCAATATTTATGAGGCATGATGGAGCTTTGCTAATATCCTTACTGAGTGTTTTGTCTTGTTTTAATGGGATGTCAGGATTTGCTGTTGACCCGTGTGAACTCAAGAGGCTTCTAAGGGTCAATACTGAAATATGAGCTGTGTTGTCCATAATTTGACATCTTTATTGAGTTTGTTATCATGCGGGTGTGCAGATTCAGGCGGTCTGATTGTCTGCATGTCATAGATATCTTTATTTTAGTTATACTTTTTTCTATTGAGTAATCCTCACCCTCCTGCTTTTATTTTATTTTATTTTATTTTTTATTTTATTCATTTTATTATTATTGTTTAGTAAAATTAAAACCATAAAACATTAACTGAAATAAAATAAAAAATAAAAAAATTATGTTATTACAGCTTGTTGCCAAGAAAGCATTTCTCATTTTAATTTCGTTTTGTACAAAACTTGTACTAAAATAACTAAAATAAAAATGAATAAAAACTATATAGACATTTTTTTAAAAGAAACTAAAACATAAAAATGACAAAAATTGAAATAAAAACAAGAATAGTATCTCAATGGTCTCAATAACACTGGTAAATGTATTTGTTAATGGGGAAACATATTTGAAAATTTGCTTGCTTTTTAAGATTTTAAAGAATAACAACTTCGATTTCAAAACCCGTAGAGGAAGTGCAATCACTGTTATGCCATAGAGCGAATCAGAGAGAGCCAGGGGAAGGGTTGGCATCACCGTGGTTACCATGCTAAACAGACTTATAATTATGGGATGTAGAGCCCCGGGGGCTGCGAAGTTAAAATAATTTATGCACCACAGATGCATTGTTCTTCTGAAAAGACAGAGGGCAAAAGAGAGAGGAAGGCAAGAGGTTTGGGGGAAATGCCTAGAGAATAAGAAAGAGACAGAGAAGAACGACTGTAACATATAAACTAGGTTTTTATATCAGATTAGAAATTTAGATTATTTTATAAAGTAAGTCATGTTTAACTATGGTATGAAGTTCCTCAGGTGTTCTGACGGGTGGTTTACATTTACACTCACCTAAAGGATTATTAGGAACACGTCTGTTCAATTTCTCATTAATGCAATTATCTAATCAACCAATCACATGGCAGTTGCTTCAATGCATTTAGGGGTGTGGTCCTGGTCAAGACAATCTCCTGAACTCCAAACTGAATGTCAGAATGGGAAAGAAAGGTGATTTAAGCAATTTTGAGCGTGCCAGACGGGCCGGTCTGAGTATTTCACAATCTGCTCAGTTACTGGGATTTTCACGCACAACCATTTCTAGGGTTTACAAAGAATGGTGTGAAAAGGGAAAAACATCCAGTATGTGGCAGTCCTGTGGGCGAAAATGCCTTGTTGATGCTAGAGGTCAGAGGAGAATGGGCGACTGATTCAAGCTGATAAAAGAGCAACTTTGACTGAAATAAC